TGGACACAACATCTTTGTTGGTATGTGGTGCTGAGGATCGAACCCGGGCCGCACGCATGCCAGGCAAGCGCGCTACCGCTTGAGCCACATCCCCAGCCCGGATTTATTTTTTAACTTAAGGGGAAACTTTGTGAAAAAACTGTGATTTTTAGAGTCTTAAGAACAATAGACTGGGCACAGTGGCACACACATGTAATCCTATCAACTCCAGAGCCTGAGGCAGGAGAATCATAAGCTTGAGACCAGCCTCAGTGACTTAGCAAGGCCCTATTTCAAATCAAAAAATAAAAAGGCTAGGGATGTAGCTCAGTGGATTCAGTGGATTCAGTCCCCAGTACCAGGGGAGAAAAAATAGGCAGTGATAGAATGGGCATATATTAAACTATAGTATCTGCTGTTTGGCTCTTAACTGTTTCATTGGGTCTGTCCATTGGAGTTGAATGATTTCATTGAAATCTCCATGACCAAGGATGGGGCAGGTATAACGTGGAATGCCCATGAAATTCATTAGACTAAATGAGAATGTAAGTAAGTGCCTAGAAAGCTTTTAATTTATTTTTATGATTATTTTTATATTAGGCAGCTAAGAATTTACCTCCATTTGCATGCATCTTTTTTTATTCACAGTCATAATATAAATTCATTATCCATAGTTTCTCTCATAGACTTTTCCATTAAATGCTTCTCATGAAACACTTCAGTTTTATGTTATAAATGCCCAAATAATTTTTATCTTGTATGGAAGCTTCCCAGCCTAAATTGAGTGATTTCAAAAGCTCCAAATTTGAAATAGCACAAATAGTGTTTTCTGTTTTGGGGGTTTTTTTTTTTTTGTTATTGTTGTGGTTGCTGGGTTTGGTGGCACACACATCTGTAATCCCAGTGACTTGGGAGGCTAAGGCAGGAAGATGACAAGTTCAGCCTCAGGAATTTAACAAGACCCTAAGCAACTCAGCGAGACTGTCTCAAAATGAAATGGACTGGGAATGTGACTCCTGGGTCAATCCTCAGTAACCAAAGGAAAAAAAAAAGTTTTTAACTTAGAACAGTAAATGTAATTAGGAGAAATTCAGTCTTCTAGGGTTGTCATTCTTTACAGTCACTAAATAGCCTCTCAAATGTAGGTCAGAATGACGAAGGCGTGATAGTCAGTGTAACTAGGAACTGTCCCTGGAACGTGGAGATTGAGAGGAGTCCAGAAACATGGAAATGGTGTGAATATCAACTTACTGAGGAGTGGCAGGGAAGGGTCTGACTTTGCTTCGGACTGAAGGCCCTCTGCTTTCATGCTGGGTGGGGGCTGTTTCTAGGTGGTGTGTCTCCTCAGCCACATAACACTCAGCTGCCAGTGCAGCCTTCCTCATGTTATCTTCTTGTGTTCAGGCTGCTCGGACTGCGGAAGATGCCATGCAGATAATGGAGCAGATGACCAAGGAGAAGTCCGAGACGCTGGCCTCCCTGGAGGACACCAGGCAAACAAACGCAAAACTGCAGAGCGAAGTAATCAGACTTAAATGGCTTACTGATCTCACGGGATGCCTGATCCTAACTCAGGATTGGGTGTTTTTTGGAAGCATGGCCTTCCAGAGGTTTGATCCCTGGAAGGTACACTCGAGGTTTGATGGAGTGTACACCAGGGCCATGAGGATGTTTGATAAAGTGTATCACTTTATTACTTATTTAGTAGGATGAACCTTTAAAAATTGAGGGGAAAAGTGTGATTTTTGGTTAATTACTTAGGGATAGCACTGGAAAGAGAGAAGGCTGATGACATTCTCTACTTTCAGATTCTTTTTTTTTTTTTTTGGTGGTGCTGGGGATTGAACCCAGGGCCTTGTGCATGTGAGGCAAGCCCTCTACCAACTGAGCTATACTGCCAGCCACTAGATTCTTTATATTATGTCATATGCATTTTTTCTCCTCAATTCTCTCCCAACCTGGAGCCACTAAATTCCATTTTGCAGCCCCAAATCTAATGTAGGTCTTTTGTTGGCCAAGTGTAGTGCTGATTTGCTTTTTTTTTTTTTTAAGTATTTATTTATTCATTTATTTGTTTTTTTTTATTGGTTATTCAAAACATTACAAAACTCTTGACATATCATATTTCATACATTCGATTCAAGTGGGTTATGAACTCCCATTTTTACCCCAAATACAGATTGCAGAATCACATCAATTACACATCCACATTTCTGATTTGCTTTTTTTTTTTTTTTAATTTTAATATTTATTGTTTTAGTTTTCGGCGGACACAACATCTTTATTTGTATGTGGTGCTGAGGATCGAACCTGGGCCGCACACATGCCAGGCGAGCGCGCTACCGCTTGAGCCATATCCCCAGCCCCTCTGATTTGCTTTTGTGTCAACTTGAATTAGTCATTTCTGAAGCTGAGACAAATTTGTGGTGTCAAGATATTTTGATTTTTATCCACAAGTAGCATTTCTCCTTGGCTCTTCTTTGATTCCCCTATTCCCACCCTTCTATCTTATACCAACCCATTCTTTCCTTGGAAAGCTGTTGTCTAAATATCTAGAGGACTGATTCACTAAAATGAGTGTGTGAAAGTCTGTACAACTCCAGATGCTTCTTAAGATACTAAACCAAAAAAGCAAGAGAAGGGAATGAGCCAGGTGTTTCGGTGTATGAATATAATCCAAGCTACTTGGGAGACTGAGGCAGGAGGATCATAAGTCTGTGTCAGCCTGGGCAATTAGATTAGACCCTGTTGCTTAGTGGTATAGCACTTGCCTAGCATGTGTCAGGCCCTGGGTTCTATCCCCAGCACCTCAAAATAAAATAAATCACAGATGATAATCTGAATTAGAAGCTAGAGTATTTGAGAAGATTTGGGGGAATGTTTCTAGTCATTGAAGATGGACTCAAGGAAAATTGTGTCCTCCCATGGATTCTCCTCCCTGGATATACCTGTGGTAGCCAGATTACAAGACTGGACGAACCATTTCTTGTGACTTTTTTCCTTGTTCTGGAAATCTAGAATATTATAAAGTATTTAAAGGAAGGTACGGTTTTTGAAACTGGCAAGACATAGGGCCGGGAGTGTTACTCAGTGGTAGAGCACTTGGCTGGCAGCACAAGGCCCTGGGTTTGATCCCCAACATTACAAAAACAAAAACTAGCAAGACACTTTCCGGGATTTTTGGCAGGTGACATGGCAAAAGGAGCCTGACAATTCTCCCTGACTACGGGAAACAAGAACACAAGGAGAGAGCCAGCGTGGCCCATCCTTGCTGGTTCTCCCACCAGGGGTCCAGATCCAGGACCAGTCACATCCCCTCTGTTCCTTGACATACCTGGCTCTCCACCAGAGCTAAGGCTCTAAGCTGGCTGTGAGTGCTGTGGGCAGTGGTGGGGTGAGAGTGCCCGCAGTCTTCCTGTATGCCTGGTCCCCTTTCAGGTTGAGGTTCAGATTGATGACTAATTTTTTTCCAATCTATATATATTTTGTTCAAATAAATGCTTTTGTAACAAGGACTATGTAAATTTGGTACTGAAATTAGACTATGTCATATCATATGTTACTATTCTGTGGGGGAAGAAAAGGAATTTCATTTCAGTACAAGGAATAACCCTTGCTGATGTCGATGTGCTTTACAATTTCTTTCTTGTTTTTTAAAAATGAATCATACTTGAATAGTATGCTCAGTAATAATTACTGAGAATTGTGCACAAGATGAAGGAAAACTTTTGTTTTAATTTATGTAGCAAATCAGTTTGACATTTTGGCCAGGTGTACACAAAATGGTTGGACTCAATGTAAGGAGGATTGCAGTTTATAATAGACTCATCATTTGTGATTTTTTTTAAAAATTGTAGATGGACACAATATCTTTGTTTTTTTTATTTATTTTAATGTGGTATTTTAATCCAGTGCCTCACACGTGCGAGGCAAGCGCTCAACCACTGAGCTACAACCCCAGTCCCATTTGTGATTTCTTTACTCCTGTGACACTTTTTTTTTTGTAAGTGAATATTTTCATCCATTTTTAAAAATATGCATTTTCATGAATAATTTGTCTATCCAACCATACCATTGGAAAATGAAAATATTTCACAAGACTTTTTCTTTTGGTCTTTAAGTTGGACACGCTTAAAGAAAACAACTTGAAAAATGTGGAAGAGCTGAACAAATCAAAAGAACTTCTGACTGTAGAGAATCAAAAAATGGAAGAATTCAGGAAAGAAATGTAAGTTAATCTCCTTGAGAAAAATCACATAACTTATTTTAAATTGCAAAAGTAAAAATAGTTATTTAGAAAATATTTGAAAAGCACATAAAGCAAAAATAGATACACCCTTCTGTATCCCAAATACTATTTCACCCCCAGAGGCCACCTCAGTAACCAGGGGTAAGTCAGAACGACAGTTACATTAAAGGATCACAGGGGACCATGTGCTGCCTGATGAGTTAAGATGTTTTAGATTCAAATGTGACTTTGTAAAGCCAAAAAACTCAAGTAGAATCAGACATTTAGAGTAGTCTGCTTACGTGACAGCCAGTCTTAATGTTTTGAAGCATCAGATCCTTTATTTAGAAATCCCGCAAGATTTTTCTATAGAAAATAAACAGCAGCACGTCACTTGCAAGACTTTCAGTATCAAATTTGGCATGGACACTGAATGGCCAGCATTTTGGAGGACTTCAAATTAGCACGTGTCCTCAGCCTGCCCCTTGGCTTAGTCTGCCAGACCATTCATGTTTCCTTTGACACCAGCCTAGTCCTGGTTTTTCATGTTTGATTTATTGTAATTATCAGAGATTGGTGTTTACCTGGCATTTTAAGTGATGGTTACAGTGTAGATCTCATTTAGTCTTCTATTTGATGACTATACTGTATCAACTGTGTGAACCTAAAAATCTAAAAGTTAATCTGGTGAATATGTGAGTGTGTGTGTCCTTCATGCTAGGTACAAAAAGCTAGGAAGGACACACAGATAAATTAGATGTGAGTCCTGCCCTTTAAGGGTTTATATCACTTATTTCCAGTTCTAATAAAACAAACAGATCCATTCCTCAATACTCTTTGTTCATGAGGCTTGGATTAAACTAGTGCATGTCTAGTTCTTCTAGGAATTCTTCAGATTCTCCAAGGAATAGTTTGATCCACTCTCCTCACCTCAGGATCATACACCTCAAGCTGTTGGTGACTGATTCCCCTCTTCAGCCTCAGGGTTGACAGTGTTCCTCTAGCTTGTGTTTCAGCAGTTCCCACCATTTCCATCCACACAGTTTATTACATGTTTATAATTGTGATTATGGCCATTGGGGGAGTCTTAAATTGCCAAAGCCAAGTAACACGAATAGACTATTGGACACTGTGACAGGAAAAAAAGCCCTCGTTACAGTATGGCAATTTAATTGGATTCAAAGAAGGTGGGATTATTTAGTCTAGGATTTTCCCTTGTGACACAAGTAGTTATGTTAACCTTGAGCGTTTTGGAACACTGAGTTGACTTTAGTTCATTTGTGTCACACAGGCAGCTAGTGAGGGAGGATGTGAGCTGCAGAAGATTCCCTCACCAACCTCCCACTGCCATAGTCCCACTCCTGAGCTCTCTGGGCCACACTAGGTAATGGAGGGGGCAGGGCCAGAGTGGATCTACCCAAGAGAGCTCTTGGAATTTAGATAACATTCCTGCAATAGTATTTAGAAATATTGTAGTGGTTATTACGTTGGTCTAGTCTTTCAGTGAGATTACCCTTCAATGGTCAGAGTCCTAAGCCCTGTCATATCACCTACCTACTCCAATCAGTGTGGGATTGTTTTCTCCCATTAAGATATAAATTTGGGGACTGGGTATGGCTCAGTGGTAGAGCACTTCCCTGGCATGCAAGAGGCCCTGAATTCCCTCCCTATATTCAAAAAGGAAAAAAGCAAAATTGTGTTTGTCTTTTTGCCCCTTTTGTATTGTTCTGCTAATGACAATCTTGCTTCATGCCTGTGGAAGCAAAGGATTGGGGGTAAAAGACTTTGGCTCCAGCTGTTATCACAGTAACCGGAGCCTGTCCTCCCTATTGCTGCTCCCTGAGGAAGAAGAAGGTCCCAGTGCAGACTGAGCCCAGGCTGTCCCACCAGGCTTGAGGAAACTCCATCTTTTGTGTACCCTGTGAACCCCAATCTGATTATGCTTCTGGGGCCAGATTGCAATTTTCCATAGATGCTGCAGGAGTGAGGCCCAGGGAGTCGGCTTAAACCCTGTCCCAATACTCATTGTTCCCTGCCCTAGACTTGGCCACACTTCAAGACCGTTTGCTATCAAAAGACCATGTAATGGGAGCAGCACTTCTCAAAGCAGCATAGTGGTTTTGTGCCCCTTAGTTGCATTCCTCGGTGCTCAAAGCTGGAGAATGAGCAGCTGCCCGTTTCCCTGAGGTTGGACATGCTTCCAAAGCTGTCCTGGCATCTCTCTTCACCCGATAGGACTGAGCTCCCTAGAGAAAAGGGTTGCCAGCTGGTTGTGGGGTGCGCACCTGTAATCCCAGTGACTCAGAGACTGAGGCAGAAGGATAGGAACTTTGAGACCAGCCTGGGCCCCCAGCCAGACCCTGTCTCAAAAGGAAAAATGGTGGGGATTCCAGTGTAGATGGGAGTTCTCCCAGGACACTTTCCTATAGGACATTGGCCTCTGGGAAACCAGCACTGGTTAATTGAATGTTTTTCTCCTCTGTGCTACTTACTAGACTGATTTTAGGAAAACCCTTAATTTTAGCTAGGGAACATGTTAATAAAATGGTCTCTCACTGATATGTAACTTTGTATCAGAAAAAATGCTATAAGCAATATAATTTTTATTTAGTAATAAATTAGGATATATTTAGCATGAATAGATTTGTGATGGATTAATGAGAAAAAAGTTTACAAGTCAATATTAACAATGTTTATTTTGTTTCTCGGGTGTTTTTGTTTTTTTGGTATTACTGGGGACTGAACCCAGAGGCGCTTAACCACTGAGCCATATCCTCAACCTTTTTATTTTGAGACAGGATCTCACTAAGTTGCTGAAACTGGCTTTGAAATTGAGATCCTCCTGCCATGGCCTGCTTGGATTACAGGCGAGCACCACCTCCCCTGGATGCCTGCCTCTCTGTTGTAAAGATGTAGAAATCTTTCTGTTTCAAGACATCTTGTCCCGCAGAAAAGTAGCTTCTTTAAAAATTGTTAGAAATGTTTTCATGGGTGTTTTCGGAATCATGCCTGAGTATCTCCACAGTTAGGGATGTGGGAGTTCCTTCTATGAAATTTATGTCTTTACTAGAGACAAACTAAATGGTGTCCTTTTATTTGAATCGCTTCCAATTCTTTTGGTTCTATGACTTAATGACATGATTTAGAGCAAATCTTCTCTCAGTTTTAGTTTTATAATCTTAAAATATAAATATATATTATCCCTCCTGTGCTTTGAGGGTTAAATGAGAAAATTTACATGAAAGCATTTTTTAAATTATAAAACTGTAAGTTCCATTTTCATAGATCAATACTTGAGGATATTTTGACTTCAAGTATTTTAGATTACTTCTTTGACTCCTTGTTTTAATTCTCCTTACTGCAGCCTCTTAATATAAACCAAGAGTTAAAAAAAATTTAAAAGACAAAATCACTAGGCACAGTGGTGCATGCCTGTAATCCCAGCTACTCAGGAGACTGGGGCAGGGGGATCACAAGTTAGAGGCCCACCTGGTCAACTTACTGAGATTCCGTCTCAAAATAAAATGAAAAAAGCTGGAGCTGTGGCTCAGTAAGTAGAGCACTTATCTAGTGCAAGGCCTTGGGTTCAATTTCCAGTACCAAAAAAAAAAAAGGTGGGGGGATTTTTAAGAGGGAATAAAGAGAGGAGTAGCACAGATATCACTGTGATGTGACAGGCACACAAATGCTGAGACCTGATGGCCTCTTGAAGGTAGTGACCACCTGAGAAATGCAATGTTTGGCTTATGATTTAATCAGAAGTAAAATCTTCCGATTTATCAAGGATTTTTGGACTTTGGCCAGATGAACTTCAACTGCAGTGTGTGGTGTGGGCATGTTTATATATGTGTGTGTGAGTGAATAATACAGCGATAGATAGATCCATAATTAAAATCATGCCTTCTAGCTTTTGAGTCACTAATTACCTGAAACTAAAATTCCTTCTCACTTTTTCTTCATTTGCTAAATATCTCTATAGGTCTAATTTAGTGTTCTAAAAGAATTTTTGTGTAGATTGATTTCCCCAAATCTTCATGAAGTCCTCACAGTATGCATATTATAGGTAGGTGGAGAGATTGAAGATGCCAAGCACTGCCACCCATTAGACAATTGAAGTTAAAAATAGATGTGTTCATGCATCAGCAGATGGATTCATGCCCAGATGACTGGATTCAGAATTCAGCCACATATGACAGCCTTTGAGTGGAGATTCACCAGCACAGGATTATTTAAAATTCACAATTGCATCAAAACCTTCCATGGCACAAAATTAATACCCAGCAATCAAGTAAAATATTTTGAATATCCATGTGTTGAGGATAATAATTTAGAATGTGTATTTTGGTTTAGTTTTAATAATGGGAAGATATTTACTAAACATACCTTTCTTGTAAATACCTGCCTAGGTAAAAATACTTGTGGTATGGGTTAGCAGGCTATATTATATTTTAATTTGCTTTTAAAAAAGAATTAGCATTAATGAAAAGAATACCATGAAATAAAATACCTAATGCTTAATTGGGAAGCCATTTCCTTAGGCATTTCATTTCTAGGTGTCCTAAAAGTCTGTTCAGATTCACATCAGCGCTTGACTCTGACAGTTACTGGCAAATGGAACCATTAGATTTTTATGACTAACAGAGAAAAACAGATTATAGATCTGTGCAGGTAGAACAGAAAGCCTTGGCAGCAAATTAAACCACTTTATAAATATTAATGGACATATTCCTAAAGATGGGAGGACTATACTGACCTTCTCATTTATTTCATTGCAAAATTCCCTTTCATGTGGAGTAAGTGTGATTGGTGGGAGAATGGCTATAGTGTTTATTAGGTTTTAAAAAACAGTAATTGTAGACAGCTGCCCTCCTTTTAGAGGTTAAAGCCGTGAGGCCCCTCCTGTGTGTAGATAACACTGTCTCCTGTTATTATAGAGCCTATGGGGCACGTGACCCAGGTCTATTTTCCTCAGTGCTTATGAAGCTGGTTGTCTCCCACAGTTTCCTTGCCTGTCTTGTTTCTATGGTAACCCTGCACTCACTGTCCTTGCAGAGAAACCCTAAAGCAGGCGGCAGCTCAGAAGTCCCAGCAGCTTTCAGCACTGCAAGAAGAGAACGTCAAACTTGCCGAGGAGCTGGGGAGAAGCAGAGACGAAGTCACAAGTCATCAAAAGGTCAGTGGACCTTTGGTGGGGTTTCTGGATCTGCTGTGCTGACATCTGCTGCTGTTGCAGTGCTCCTGGAGGCTGCTCAGGTCTCCTTAGTGTGGTCGTGCCCATTTCGAGTGGGATTTCCGGCTACCTGTGCTGTGTCTCCTTGCTTTCAAGTGTGCTGTGTAGAATTCAGGTCAGAAGTGAACTGACAGATTCACTAACAAAAATAAAATAAAAGAACACAAGACACTTGATCTCGCAAGCAAGTAGGAAGGAAAAAAGGTCCTTATTAGGTGATTGTAGCAAAGCATTTAAATGGAAGGGGACAATATCTTCTTACCATTGCTTGGATTTCAAAGTTATTTTTCTCAAGATTTTTTTTTCATCAGAATTGGTTTTAAGGAAGCAGACTTTAAGAATATGGATTTTGGAGCTGGGGCTATAGTTCAGTGGTAGAGGGCCTGCCTCACATGTGTGAGGCACTGGGTTCGATCCTTAACACCACATTAAAAAATAAATGAATAAAGATATTGTGTCTGGGGCTGGGGATGTGGCTCAAGCGGTAGTGCGTTTGCCTGGCATGCACGGGGCACTGGGTTCGATCCTCAGCACCACATATAAATAAATAAATAAATAAAGATGTTGTGTCCTCCGAGAACTAAAAAGTAAATATTGAAAAATTCTCTCTCTCCTTCTCTGTTAAAAAAAAAAAAAAGATATTGTGTCCATCTGCAACTTAAAAAAAAAGAATATGGATTTTTGTGGGAGAGTTGACAGTTGATTTTAAATAGAACTCTGCTTTTCAAGAATTGTTCAAGCATTTCCTAATGAAATTGAATATATGTGCACTAGTGTGCATATATATATATATAGTTGGATGGAGATATATATATATAATATAGATTTATATAATGGATATATATAGCCATTTGCTTCTATATTTAAATTACAGAGGTTCCTGACAGAAGTTGATTAGCCATGGGAACAAAATTGATTATAAAGGATGCTATATTCTGGGCAGAGATTGTGGTTCATGGTATGTGGGAGACACTGGGTTTGATCCTCAGCACCAGGGTATTGTGTTCATCTACAACTAAAAGTATTAAGAAAAAAAAAAAGAGGACACTGTATTCTGCTTTGTAGTCCTTGCTAGTGTTGAATTGTTAGTCACTTCTGCTGTCGGAGCAGGAGCTTTAAATTTTTTAGGAGACTTTTTTTGTATAGTCATTCATTCTTACTTTGATAATACAAAGGGAAAAAGAAATTTTTCCCCATTGTGTCTTGCAAATGTTAATTTTCACTTGGGATGGAGGAGTTTGGGGTCATTGTATTGAGTGCTCATTGATACAGTGCAGTTTGTGGTGAAATCATTTTTAGGAGAGTTGATTTCAGACTTTAAAGGAGTCACGGGGTCTCCTGAGCTCCTTCCAGCACTAAGTCCTTTAAAGTCTTCATTATAGCATTCCACAGTTTTCTCGTTTCATGAAAGAAGTGCCATGTCTCTCCAGAAACCAAGATGGTGATGCTGGTGTTGGTGATAGTAGCTTTACAGGCTCTTACTGTGTGGCAGGCACAAATAGACTACAGCTATCATCTCGGTAATCACCACAATTCTGCATGGGGGCACTAATGTTATCCTGTTCATGAAAGAGGAAATGGAACCACAGGGAACATAAGCATTTGCTCAATATTATTCAGCAAGTAGTGTCAAGAGATACTTGTCATCTTCTGATTTGGATCTGGAAAAGAATCAAAGTGTGTTGACTATGTAGAGTCAGTGCATGTCTTTTGATCAGCATGTGAGAAATTGGAGTTCATGAAAAATAGCAGCCCTTTGACCAGCAGAGGTTCTTTTTTTCCTGGCACTAGCTAGAACATCTAAAACATTTGACATTTAAATACCAATGTGTCCACCAAGACTTGGAAAAGAAGGATTTCAATCAAGTGCTGAGTCTGTTCCCTTCTTTTTTTTTTCTCATTTCATTTAATATCTTGTTAGAAAGAATAGATTCCATAAATCTGAGAACAGAGATCATCCTCTTATGTTTTGAGCTTAACTGGACTGAGAGATTGCTTGTCTCTGTTGCTTAGTGCTAGAAGGAGCTCAGGAGACCCCGTGACTCCTTGGACAGAGGTTTCCAGAGTTCCTTTGCATCCTGGTAGCTCTATTCTCTTCACAAGAGGGGTTTCAGGAAGCTTCATATTGAAGAGGTTTTGTGATTAATAGTTTGAAAATCAGTTATTTTGCAGACTGTTAGAAAATAACACCTATAAGGATCAGCTAAAAAAGTGACTTCCTTTTGTAATATTTAACTCAAAAAAGACAGGTGGGTGTGAAATAAAACAATACTTTTATGATAGAGAATGAGGAGAGTGATATTGATTACCAGAAACCATTATAGATTATTATTGATACAAATACATTTCAAAAGAGTAGAGAGAATCTCCTGTTTATTTATTAATCTTTTATCTTTTTCCTTGATGCATTATACATATTAGTGAGATCCATTGTTACATACTCAGATGTGCACATAACGTAATTTGGTCAAGTTCATTCCCCAGTTCCTCCCCTTTCCCTCTCCTGGTCCCCTTCCTGTATTCATTTGGTATCCTTTCTATTTTCAAGAGTTACCTTGCCCTTTTCCCCCTATTTTCTCTCTAACCTCCACATAGAAGAGAAAATATGACCTTTGACTTTCCAAGTAAGACTCATTCACTTAAAATAACTTAGAAGCACCCTTAGTTTATAGAAAATTAATTCATTAGGCTCTATTATACTTTCAAAACATTTGTGTGTGTGTGGTGTGTGTGTGTGTGTGTGTGTGTGTATGTTGCTGAAGATTGAAGCCAGAGCCTCATGTGTGCTAGGCAAGCACTGTACCACTGAGCTACATCCAAAGCTGTTTTTATTTTGTTTTGAGACAGGGTCTTGCTGAGTTGGCCAGGCTGTCCTTGAACTTGCAATTCTCCTGCCTGAGTAGCTAGGATTACATGTCCAGCATCTGCAGAGCCCAGAGTTCAATCCCTAGTATCATGCCAAAAAACAAGTAAAGAAACAAAAAGTTGGAGAGTGATAATAGCCATTGTTGTTCTGCATTAGAAACCTCATGTGACCTGACTGCCGAGGAGCTACATGAAGGGGGTACTTTTGCAATTGGAGGGGAATCAACTGCTTATCCATAGTCCTCTGGAAAGGAGTTGGCTAAGCCAGAAACAATCCACCTGTGTGCATTCTGTGTGGCCTGCTTTCTCTATCAGACAGTTCTCTCCAGCTGAAACTTTTTTGGTGGGGTGGCAGGGAAGTACTGGGGATTGAACCCCAGGGCTCTCTACCCACAGAGATGTATCCCCAGACCTTCTTTTGTGGGGGGTGTTTTTTGTTTTGTTTGTTTTTTGTACCAGGGATTGAGCCCAGGGGCACTTAACCATTAAGCCACATCCATAGCCCTTTTTTTAAAAAAGAGTTATAAATGGACAGCATACCTTAATTTTATTTGCTTATTTTTTTGTATGTGGTGTTAAGGATCTCGGACCCAGTGCCTCACCCATGCTAGGCAAGCGCTCTGCCACTGAGCTACAGCCCCAGGCTGGCCTTGAACTTGTGATCCTCTTGCCTTGGCCTCCCAAGTTGCTAGGATTTCAGGCATGCACCACTGTTCCTGGCTCCAACTAAAATTAGGTCTCCTTTCCAAGTTGGCTTTTTCATTTTAGGTGGAGAGAAGGGCAATAGCCAGGATCAGATAGGATTATGAGCAGCAGAAGTGTTTGATATATCTGGTATCAACAGTGACAGCAGTCATTTAGTGTTGCACAGAGTGCGTTGTCTTTTAAGAGAGAATATATTAGATCGAACTGTATGAAATTATTTTCTTCAGCAGCCTAACAGTAGACATAACTTAGCCCCTCTTGATGACTCCAAAGAGATGAAGCTTGAATTAGGGTTGCCCTGATTGTTTGCTGCCCATGTTTCTTGTCACCTCAGGTTGGTTTGTGTGTATGTGTACATGTGTGCTTATGTGAGTGTGTGCGCGCGTGTGTGTGTGTGTGTGTGTGTGAGATACACATAAAAGTTGCTTTTAATCGTTTTACGATGTATAGTTCAGTGGCATTTAATTGAGCATTTATAGTGTTGTGTGGCCACCACCTCTATCTAGTTCCAACACATTTTCATCACCCCAAGAAGACCCTGTGCCATGAGGCAGGCCCTTCTCATTCTGCTTCCCTGGCCTCTGGCAGCCAGTTTTTTGTTTCTGAGGATTGGCCTCTTCTGGACATTTCACAGAAATAGAGCACATGCTGTGTGGCCCTTCGTGACTGGATTCCCTCACGGAGCATGGTTTGCATTTATCCAGATTGAAGCATGTGTCAGTCCCTACTTTGGTTAGGAGTGGGTGCTCCCTTCCTTCCCAGGGCGGGATCGTGTTCTGCTTGATGGTGTACCACAGTTTGCTCATTCTCTTGGTCAGTGTTGTACGCCTCCTTTCTCCACTCAGACTGTCACCAGTCCCTGTTGCCTGCAGCCCATCCTACAGCAGCTGCCTCTAGAATCTTATAGAGGACAGGAAATCCTCCTTTCCTTAACAGCAGTTCTAAATCTTGCCACACTGTTCACACTTACCATCTTATACTCTTTTCTTTAAGAGAGGAATCTGGTTTTTGCCTTTATTTTTCACCTCCCATTTCCCATCCCCTGCTGCCTGCTCTTAGCCACCAGTGCACTCCAGAAATGGCTCTGACTAAAGTCATCACTTAGTAATGGCAAAATTGAGTGGCTTCCTTTCTGCTCTCTCTGAGCCCTTGGCCTTGCCACCGATGTACCCCAGCTTTCCTGCTGATTCCACCTCTGTGCCTGCTTCTCTGCTCGCCCTTCACTCCTGGCTGCCAGCCTTCACCTGTGGGCATTTCTGTCTGTCCTCCCCTTCTTTGGTCCCATATCGTCAGAGGCCCATCCTAGATGTCACTGCCTGTGCTCCAGCAGGGCAAGCTGTGCCTTCTTTGCTCTGTAGCTATCTCTGCTCCTT